CTGCAGCCCGGGGTGTGATCCTGGAGACCCGGGATCGAGTCCCACATCAGGCTTCCTGCATGGAGCCTGCTTCTCTCTCTGCCTGTGTCTCTGCCTCTCTCTCTCTCTCTCTGAATAAATAAATATTTTTTTAAAAAAATAAATTACATTAACAATTATGGCAGGCCCGCACAATTAAAAGTGTAACCATGGCATTATTTTGCTATTAAATGTGATAATGGAATGTTGAATGTTTTTCGGGGGTGCCTTGGTGGCTCAGTTGGTTAAGTGTCTACCTTCAGCTCAGGTCACAATCTTGGGGGTTCTAGGATCGGGCCCCAAGTTGGGCTCCCCACTCAGGGGAGAATTTGCTTCTCTCTGCTTGTGCTCTCTCTCTCATGCTCCCAAATAAATACAAATCTTTTTAAAAAATGTTTTTCTGCTTATTATTATTTCATGAAAGACTTCATGAAAGTGTAAAGAAACAGCAAATATTCACTACCTGCTTAATAATTAGTACCATGTCATGTATTGGGATACAAAGAATTAGAAAATTATAGTCAGTCACACCCTTTAAAAGTTTAAAATAGATGCAACCAGGAAGTTAAATAAAATCCAACCAGGAAAAAGTTCAGTAGGGCATAAAATAGCATCAGAATGTGAGCTAAAATATGTTATGCAAAATAGACTGTAGAGTGAAAAAATGATCAAATCTCCAGAACATGAAAGGCCACGAAAACTAGGAAGGGCTTCAAAAAGAGGGAAGGGGTGCTAACTGTAACACAGCCGGAGAAATGAAGGCCTTCTATGAGCTAGTTCTGGTGATTAAGACATGAGTTTATGAAGGCCTAGATGGGGATGACAGCACCGGCAGCAAATTCAAAGGCATGGACCTGAGATTTAGTTTGAAGATAGCGTCAATTATTCTCATGACTAACTGGATTGAGGGACAGAGAGAAGGTAGCAACTCCCACCTGCCCACTAGGCTAGAGACGGCTGAAGCTCCAGCTTGAGGACAAGGCTAAGTCCAACCAATCTCTGGTAACTTCAAATGGCCCAACAGGTCAGGGTGGAGTCTAGTCAGTGCCTAGCACTGGGACACCAAAGAGAATAAATGTTTTATAAGGCAAAAGGTCCAACAGCTAAGACTGGTAGTCAGAAAGATACCAGTGCCTCCAGCAACAGTGCAAATACCAAAAACAGCTGAAAGAATTTCTTAGAGCCAGAAAAATATTGGTGTAATGGGGTTATAGGAGTCATAAAATGACCCACAGGAGTCAGTTTTGGAATGAAAGTCAATGATCAAGTTAGTGGTACAGAAGCTGAGTTTTAGATAATGGGGAAGCATCTACTATCTTATGAGCAAAAATAATGTAGAGGACCCATGTCGTCAAAAAAGGAGAGTTGAAACCAATGAGGACAAATGGATTTTTCCCCCTTAGGTGGTAAAAAAAAAAAAAAAAAAAAAAAAAAAAAATCAAAGCTTGAAAGAGCAATGGTGAAAAAGATACAGAAGTCAAGAGAAGGGAGTGTGAAGGAATGGCCTGAACAGAATCAGATCGAATAGTAGTTAGGGAGATTCCTTCATTAACATTAAAGCTATTAAGACAGAAGAATAAAGCTTCAGAATATGTGTGCTCACCTGAATGGACGGAACAGTCCCAAAAGTGAAGAATTATGCTTGGTTTTATGTGATAAATTGAAGGATAACGTAGAAAGAACAAGCCACATGATATAATCCTACCATAAAAGCCTTAAAGCATGACTCAGAAATTTAACCCACAGAAAGTTATTAATAGGCCCTCCCTGTTTGCAAAACAGTACAAACATGACATGCCATCCAAAACAAAAAGACCTTTATTCTTCCTACCTTGCCTTTTCAAAAATGTGGATTAAAACAAAAATGTTTAATGATTTCAATGTCAATTTCAATCTACATCCAACAGTGAATAATCAATCACCATGGCCAATCATTAAAAAAACTTTGCTTTATTGGAATTTATGGAATGTATTACAATCTTTTTTTTTTTTTAACTTGAAAAGCTTTAAAGTTTGAAAGCTTGGTAACAGTTGGGTATTCCCAACTGTTTTTGCTTTTGAAAAGCACAGTCCAAGCTCTGTTACTGAGTGACAGCCCCTCAGCCCTTCTTTTTTTAAAATTTATTTAATTTATTTTTTATTTATTCATGAGAGACACAGAGAGAAAGAGAGGCAGAGACACAGGCAGAGGGAGAAGCAGGCTCCTCACAAGGAGCCGGATGCAGGACGTGCTCCCGGGTCTCCAGGGTCACACCCTGGGCTGAAGGCAGTGCTAAACTGCTGAGCCACCGGGGCTGCCCTCACCCCTTCTTTTTAAATATTCCACTGCCATTCGAGCTTTTGCAAAGCACAGTTTAAGGGTAGTTGCTCAGGTGTGCCCTCTGATTTTTAGTACTAAAGATTTTTTTGGAAATCACCTTCATATACTGTAAGGCACAATTTAAGTTAGATGATAGATTTTAGATGACACTTTTACAAATATATGTATGTGTGCTTATATGTATGTTTACTCATGTTTTTGTGAAGATTGAAGAGAGCCTCTCAAGATTTAGTTGCTGCTGTGATGGCTTAAATAGAAAAAACTAGGGCAAAAAGACACTGCTTTAAATTTAAAAAAGAAAATACAATTAATGCAAATAAAAAATAAAAATTAGGACTTATGTATTTCATTAAAATTATGATTTTCAACAACAATAAAAGATCAGAATTAAGGAAACTATGATATTTAACATGGCAGGGATAAGAAGGAAAAAATAAACTATGTATATTATATGCTGGCTCACCAAAATAGTCAAGTTGCAATAACATGATAATATAATCATCTGAAAATTACTTTGACCCATATGATATAATCCAAGGAGCATGATGGGTCTCTTTAGCAAATGCCTTTTCCCACCTATCCCTGCATCACTGTTCTACAGTCTCTTCCATCCTCCTGGATAGCACTTCTACAACCTCTAGTGGGAAACTCTCATAGCACATGACACTTGTAGACTGGTTAGGTGCTTCTGTGGGTTCTCACCAACTCATGTGCACACCCTTTCAATACCACCTCCTATTACAATTGCTGTGGGTTTATCTCCTGCCCCACTACACTACAGGTAGTCCTTGAAGGTTGGGTCTCAATCTCTATCTTTTGAACACAATACTTGGCTAATTAGGTTTTTGAATTTATAAATTAGTAAGTAATGTTCTGCCCTGTGGATATGAATTAAAATAAGGGGCTTCATCTTAAGACAAAAATCGAGCTGCTCAACATACAAAGTTAGGCAACTTGTAAGCGTGCACAGGCCCAAAGCTAAATAAAGGTCTTATAACTTTATAGCATAAGAAGTGAAAATAATTTTTGACTTTCATGTTCATGCATTCTGCAAGAACACTAACAGTGCTTGGCTTTGAAAAATAAACCCAAACAGAAAGGTATGAGTTAATGTGTAAAAGCTAATTCACAATGGGATTTCAATCATAAAAGAGTAGAGTCCTGAGCTCTGGAGCTATTTCTGCTCAAACAGATAGGAATCCACATTGCAACTTGAAGGAGAGATTTGATAGTGTAAGACCTGACCCAGCTGGATGAGGCAGAGAGGGGAGAGGACTCAAGGACTAATCCTGGATGGATCCAAAGACAGAATGCAAATACCAGCCATCTCAGAACAGTGGGCAGTTCCTTCTTTTGCTCATCTGGAGTCTCATTCTGCTTGGGTAGCTCTGCCTTTCCTCTGTTCTCATCCACTTGTCAAACCAGCCTGAATCAGAGAGCAGTGGGCATAGCTGCCAAGAGGAAGATATCCAGGCTGCAGAGCACTTCTGGGAAAGCAGAAGCCTGATGGCCACAGACAGCCCTGCCTCCAGGAACCTACCAGCCTGTGGGAAGCTTGTCAGCAACAGGAAACTTCAAGCCTGGGCAGAAAGTCTGGACATAAAAGCAGCAGAGCTCGAAAAGACCTTGGCAGCAAAATAACTGAGCTCACATGACCATTATGGCAAAGGAGAGAATAAGGCCTGTGTTGGAAGAAGTAAATAACATCAAAAGACTTCTGAAAACCAGCTTCCAATGAATTTCACAAATGTGTGGATAAGAACAATAGAAAAGATGCAGTACAGGTGCTGGGTTCTCCAACTGAAACATAAACTCTTATAAAACACAGTGGAACTCTAGAAACATTATGTGTCATCCACTTGGAACATGCGGGCAACTTAAATCAGTCCTAATTTCAAATAAAAGAGACATTCTTGAAACACCGAGACACATTGACCGGACATTTCATCTTTCCAAGGTACGTAAGGAGAATATCCTGCTTTAGCAATTTGCATAAATGGACATCAAAGTAAAGGAGGAGTTAGCACTAGCATCCTTGCTCAATATTCTAGAAGACAATGGTGCTTTGATCTTGGCTTCCTGGTAAGGTTGTCCTGGGGACACAGCTCTCCAGGTGATTATATGGCAGTACCACAGTTGTTAACTTTTCACAAAGACCTTAGGCAGCAGAAGAAAAATCAGACAGCTCAGCACTAGGTCTTGGACTCTTCCTGGCAGCATGTTGGTTGCATCTGTCTATTAATTCAACAGCAGCCTTATTTTAACATAGAAAGCAGGAAGTACCCCAGCAGTGTACACAGTCTCATGACTGTTCACATAAAAAAAAGAACCATAAGGTTACTGTCCTTGTATATGTGTGTGTGCCTCTCATATATACATTCTCTCCAATGTCACATTAAACTGTGATTACAATAAAAGAAGCAAAATGACCCTAATCCTGGGCTGGGCCTTCCTGTTCCTTAAAATTGAGTCCCTATGTTTCGATCACTTTCTAAACTCTGTTTCATATCCACCTGTACAACTCATAAAGGCATGCTAGACAGCATGGTTATTATAGTGATGTCCATATGCTCAATGGTAAGTGTCCATTAGCCTTGAGATGAAAAGTAAAATCTCAACAACAGCGCCCCTGAAGGATTGGATGAGGACTGGGGATGGATACCTAGCTGCTTCTCACGCTCCTCACGTCGCTCCCGGGCCAGCCGCTGCCGGTCGTCAACCCGTAGCACGAGAGGAGGGTCTGAAAAGGAGAGATAAAACACATGAGCAGAAGAGCAGGTTTTCTAATAATGATTTTTGTCTAGTAAATTTGATGAATAAAATATTACTGTGTCTTATAAAAATTGCTCTATATGACTATAGTTTCAGTGATACACTTTATTATTACTACAATTTTCCTGAGAATTCCCAAGCATTTTTCTCCTGTTCAAAAACATTATATGAAAGAGTGGATCCTAAGTGCATCCACAAGAAGAAAAAGACCCTTTTTTTTCTTTCCTGTATCTACAGGAGATGATGGATGATAACTAACCTGACTGTGGTGATCATTTCACAATATAGGTGTTTGACTTCAATAAAAATGGGGAAAAATTTCTAAAAATTAAATAAAAAGACACACAGCTCTCCCCCAAAACTTATGATGTAAAAACATAACTGTAGCCTTTGACTGTCTATCCAACAATATATACAATGCTTTGTGTTTCTAAGCTAGTGAACTTTAATGCTTTAAAAAGTCTGTTCCTCAACAGCAAATAGAATCCTAAGTGACTTCCTACTGAATAGATGTTCATCAGTTGGATGTAAAAAGCCCAGCTTTGGAGTCACCCAGGCAAGAGTTCACTTCCTGTTCTGTCTCACTTGCTGCGTAGATTTGGCTGAGTTACTCACCAACTCTCTAAGTCTGAAGTTAATTAGGGCATGGGTTTCACAGATTTTTATTTATTACCTATAAAATGAGAATAGAAACAGAACTGAAGTGGAACCAATCTCACATCACTGTAAGAAGTAAATGAAATAGCGAAATGGTATTTAGTTATGGTGCCTCGCACATAAGCCTCAGTAAACTCATTCACTGAACACTTGTTGATGCACCAGGCATCATTCTATGTGCTGAAAAGAAAGCACTCAAGAAAAAAATAAAAACTCTTTGTCCTCATGGGGACTGCATTCTACTCAGGGAGAATTTTACAAAGAGGATAAAGAGATATAGAATGAAAAAAAGGGGGGGGTGGTGTGTCTGAGTGGCTCAGTTCGTTAAGCATCTGACTTTGGCTCAGGTCATGATCCCACGATCTGCATTCAGGGCATAGGCTTCTTCTGCTTCCCCCTCTCCTTCTCCCCTCCCCCTCCTCAAGCATGCTCTCTCAAATAAATAAAATCTTTAAAAACATAAAAATGAAAAAAAAAAGGGGGGGGGAAATGTAGTAAATGTTAGATTGAGACAATTACTAAGGAGACAACAAAGCAATAAAGGGGATTGTGACATGGTACGAAGGGATTGTTTAACATTTTAGACAAGGGCCAAGGGAGGCCTAATTGATGGTAACTTTCAAGTGCAAAACCCTGATGGAAACAATACAGCTAGATGTGCAGATATTCCAGGAGATGGAAAGAGAGCACAAAAGCCCTGATAGTAAGAGCACCTAATGTGCTCAAGAAGTGGGTAGATTTAAGAGCCTGGAATGGGGGATTCCTGGGTGGCGCAGCGGTTTGGCGCCTGCCTTTGGCCCAGGGCGCGATCCTGGAGACCCGGGATCGGGCTCCCGGTGCATGGAGCCTGCTTCTCCCTCTGCCTGTGTCTCTGCCTCTCTCTCTCTCTGTGTGACTATCATAAATAAATAAAAAAATTAAAAAAAAAATTAAGAGCCTGGAATGGAGTGAGATGGTAAGCAATGGGGCCAGACAGGCAAGGGCCAGGGCACAGGGCTCGCTGGTCACAGTGAGGACTCTGGATTGCACTCAAGGGAGACATTGCTGGGGGTTCCCAACAGAGAGCTACAGTAACGGGCTCACTCTGCTACTATATAAATAAGAAAATAATAATGATAATGATGATGATAATAATTACCTTAAAATCAGGTTTATTTTCTTCTCTCTTAAATGAACATATTTTTAAGATCTCACGTTAAAAATAGAAACCTAGTGGAACAATATTTTAGACAGCACAGTAGTGCTTTATCAACAAATTCAAAGGCCCTACATCCTAAAGTGCCTCTTAAATGTTACAGAATTTGTACCTTGAGGGGCAACAGAAACTGTATAAAGGCCTATCAAAAGCAAGCAGAAACCTGGCAGTGAGATCATGAGCAAGAATGAGGGCTATTATACTTTTCATTTAAGATATGATTTTTTTTTAAAGATTTTATTCATGTATTTGAGAGAGAAGAGAGAGCAGGAACATGTGACAGCACAAGGCAGGGAGGGGCAGAGGGAGAGATAGAAGCAAACTCCCTGCTGAGCAGGGAGCCAGACTGGGGGTGGGGTGACATTTGATCTCAGGACCCCAGGATCATGACCTGAGCTGAAAGCAGACGCTTAACTAAAAGAGCCACCCAAGGGCCCCCAAGATATGATTTTTAAAAACTGGTAGAAAAACAAAACCAAAAAACACCTCAGTAATTACTATGATGATTACTTTTCAGATTTACTGATTATGAGATTTCAAATATTTTTTGTATAAGAAAACATTGCTCCTGGCCCCAAAAGGTTTACTTCTGAAATCTGAAAATGTGCATGTGGACTCCTGCTCAGGCACTTGGTAAAGGATTATACACAGGGGTGTTTTACTTCATTTGTAAAAGAAATGATGAAAAGAAATGATAGCATGGCAAACGGCATTTTCAAGAAAGAACTATCTGAGAACAAGTCAAAATGAAGTCAGAAGAGACCTTCAGTGATTACCACTTAAGTAATATTCCTTAAACAATGAGGTTTACCTGTTCACAAATACTTATTTAACTATAAAACTCAAAATCAACTTTATTTAAAAAGATGCATAAGCACGTTACAGAAAGCCTATAAAATAGTTTAGGGACACCTGGGTGGCTCAGTCAGTTAAGTGTCCAACTCTTGATTTTGGCTCAGGTCATGAGCCAGGTCTCTCCAGGTGGCGAGATCAAACCTCAAGTGCTCTGTACTCAGCATGCAGCATGCTTGAGATTCTCTCTCTCTCTCTCTCTCTCTCTCCCTCTCTCTCTGCACCTCTCCCCACTCACGTGCTTTCTTTCTCTCAAAAAATAAAATCTTTCTTTTTAAAAAAGATTTTATTTATTTATTCATGAGAGACACAGAGAGAGACAGAGGCAGAGACACAGGCAGAGGGAGAAGCAGGCTCCATGCAGGGAGCCTGATACGGGACTCGATACGGGTCTCTAGGATCACACCCTGGGCTGAAGGCGGCGCCAAACCGCTGAGCCACCCGGGCTTCCCTCAAAAATAAAATCTTAAAAAAAATAGTTTAACTACTTTGAATTACATTTATAAATTCTGTCATAGACTATCAATATGAAGGATGTGACATTTCTAGCTTACTTTCAAGTACATGCCAAATTTCATGTAAAATTTTGGAAATAATTTTGAAAGGAACATTTTAATAACTATGTATGGGACACACACACTCTCACCTACCTTCTTCTACCCAAACCAATCCTGAGAGCCTCAAATGAGTAACTGGTATCAATAATCCAATTATGCACTGCAATAGTTGCCTTTTAGACACATGGTTGGAAAATAGCAGTGCAAGAGATGATTTCTGTAATATTGTTTCATATGAAGATTATGCTCATTATGTATAGCAAACTGCAACTTGCCTGATCATATAATATATAAGAAAGAAGGCTGTATATAGTGCTGCACAAATATATTAATTAATCACAAATAAGGCCCATGCTTACAAGTGCAATAATTTCCACTGACTTTCTTTTGAGGTCAGTTCTGAAATGATAATCACTACTCATTTGGAATCAGATTTTAAGGAAGTAAAGAATTAAGACATGGTGATTGTGATACGCTAGATGATTTTGATTCTTTTGGGAATCTGGCACTAGAAATGTTGAATTGTAAAGGGAAAAAGGCATTCAGTTTTTTTTTTTTAAAGGTCAATTGATTGTTTGTTTTAGGGAGTGTAGGGAATAGAGGGAAAGAGAATCTCAAGCAGACTCTATGCCAAGCACATTGAGCCTAACATGCGGCTCCATCTCAGGATCCTGAGATCATGACCTGAGCTGAAACCAAGGGTCACTCAACTGACTGAGCCACCCAGGCGCCCCAAGGCATTCAAATTTTGTTTCCATCCTTCTGATTACATTGAGAGAGAGTCACTTTGGTGCTAGAATGCTAGAATGTCAATAATATTTGTGGCAGATTAAAATGGCGTGAATGGGGGTGGGGAGAAACAAAGCCTTGTTGGTTTTGTTCCCTGCTTATTTCCAGTGGTCAGGGCCATATCTGGCAGGAGGAGAACATTCAGTAAATATTCAGTAAGTTCAAAAGAGTATCTGTTGAACGAATGAGCAAACAACCTTCACTAACTTTCAGAGCCTTTAAACTTCCACTAACATGCACCAATGGGGCAAAAGAATAGCAATCTTGTATTTGATAACAGACTTAAAAAATATAAATGCTGGCAGTCACAGTTTTAATAAGCAAAAACTAATTTAAATATCATATTTAAAGCTAGCTTTCCAAAAAGGAAAAAAATGGAATTGAATAGTTCCTAGTAAATAGTGAATTTTCTGAATTCTTTGTCTCCCTGTCATCTCCATCCTCACATCACTTTTCCCTGGAACAAAATCAAGGTATAGAAGGTAAATTAACATCGTGAACATTTCACATCATTTCCTGATAGATCTAACATTGTTAGAAGGAACAGTTTCCAGAGCAAAGGAATGTTGATCTGAGTCCACCTGCAGCTATACTTTGCACTCAACCACCTATTGGGATAACTGACGGTGGGGGGGATGGTCACCCAAACTGGGGCACTTTTAAGAGTGATAGGGGGTGCTCCTGATGTTCTGTCTTCAATAACATGCATGAACCTGGAACTCAGTGATTCAACTCTCTCAAAGACATCAACTGACCTTGACAAGGCTTTCCCAAGAGTTCACTAGGCTTTGACTTCCATCTGAATAACTACCATTTATACAGTAAATAACTTCATTAGGGCTTTGCATTTTACAAAGCCCTTTCACATACATTATCATTTGGTTCCTCATAATAGCTCTATGAGCTAGCCAAGCATTTCTTCATTCAATGGCGAGTTCTTAAGCCTATTTTCCAAATGAAGAAATGTACATGATTGAGGAAGGTGGCACAGTGAAGTGTCAAAGCTAGTTTTTAAAACCAGACCTGGCTCAACCCCATGACCTTTTACACATGATGACACAGGGAGTCATTATAATAGCGTGATGTAGCAGCCAGAGAAGGCCTGGAAGACTCCAAAGCCTGCTTTCCTCTGTGAGGGAAATGATTTATAAACACTAATGAAGTTTTTAATGGCTCTTTTAAAGACTTGTGGTGGAGGGTGATAAAGGGATAGGAATTAAGAGGGATTTTTTTTTTAAATGAACTTGAGTTTCTGCTTTTCTCAAGGATATATACATAGTTCATGAAGAAAATGCAAGTGTTTTCTTCTAACTAGGTCACACTCCAAATCATTTGGAGGTGACTGAGGGAATCCTCAAGAGCCATCCCCTCCTCTGTAGACATAGACAGATTGTGACTTTACAAATGGTTTCTTTTGGTCTGTGTCCAAGTATTCACATTCACTTGTCATGTCATAACATGAAACAAAATGTACCCAGACTTATAAACCACAAGGGCTTTCCATACATTTTTTAAAGATAAAATATTAAAAACTTGAATGTTATTAACATCAAAGAAATGTTCTAGAGTCTTCCAATGAATTTTAAGTATCAGAAGTTAAAGGTTGGAGATACATTTGACTAAAATGTACCGGGTTAAAAGAGACCCCAAGAAATCATTTGGTCAGGATGCCTGTTCTCAGGTGAGGGCAATACTCAAAATATCCCCAAATTTAGCACATACTTTACTTTTTTTCACCCAAGTTCCAGAAGATGAAAATTAATATATTGCTCTAGACATTCCCATGACTTATAACCCATAAAAATAAAAGGTTTTACTCAAGCCTCACCCTCCAACATGAAATCTCTATCATCCTTTGGAGATACTGAGGAAAACAACATTGTGGTTGTAAAAATGAGACCTTCTTAGGTACCTCTACTTATCTGTATATACAAGAAAGCAGACATATGATGCTCAAAAAACACAAACTGAATGGTTGCCAGAGAGGAGAGGGGTAGGGGAAATGTGTAAAATGGGGAATGTAAGGTACAGACTTCCAGTTATGGAATGAATAAGTCACAAGGATAAAAGGTATAGCACAGGGAACATAGTCAAAACAAGGGAAAAACAGCACACACCATTTAGCTATGTTGGATTCCCATGGTAAAACCAATGAGGTTTTCATGCTAATGGACTTCTACCTCCACAAGGATTCTCACTTGGGTATAAGGAACGAAAGTTCACTAGAATAAGGCCTATGAGCACAGGGGCTCTGCTTTGCTCATCCAGTACTTCTCATGATCCCAGGCACAGGACAATTACTCAATAAGTAGTAGTAGATGGTAGCTGAGAGGTAGGTGGATAAATGAATGGATGAAAAGGCAAACTGAAGTGGGGAATCTTAACCTGCTAATTAAAATTCCACCGAAACTACACATCATTTTTCATTAATGACTGCTCATGCAGTACTTGCAATAATACTTGTTAGTTGTCCTTCTTCTAAGCAACAAGCCAGATTTATCTGCTCTGTTAAGATCTTTTCCCACATGGAAACCCTGCCCCCCCCCGCCGCCCCCAAACTTGGTACAATAGGAAATGTATTCTTTGAGGCTAGCAAGAATTATTTCCATCTTTCTTCTCACTGATTCACTGTTCCTGAGTGACTTCGGTCTTGGATGCTACATGAAGTAGGCTTCCAAGGTCCTCATAGGGGGGTTCAATTTGCTGTTGCCTTCCTTTGTTTGCTTACCATTATACTGGACACTGGTCTCTCCCACGGACCACACAAGGGCTGTTGGATACCTAGAAGCTACTGCATTGTCTATTCAACTGTTTATGTTTATAGGCTGTTTGCTTCTTTGTATCACTGAGTGGAACAGACCATGAATCACAGGCTATTAAATGAAATTACTGTGTAGGTGTACAATCATTTCAGGGAATAGAGAACAAAAACATAATTCTGTCCCAGCTTTGCTACATGTGAAGATTTCCTTAAATGGCTTTGGAAAATGTCACAAAAAAGATAGGCAATAATGGTGGGCACACAGATACAAAAAAATGTGTCGTATGCATCATTTCAAAACAGAATAGGAAAATGATTACCTCTTATACATTGCTTAACAGTAAACAATGTACCCACATGCATCATCTCACTGATTGTCAAAATGATTCTGAGAGGTAAGCAGGGCATGTATTTGAATCTCTATTTTATTTTATTTTATTTTATTTTATTATTTTTTTTGATCTCCATTTTAAAAAGAGAAAATCAAGGCTTTAAGAGATTCTCAGACTTAAACACATACAAGGCAGTATGAGTGTTTGTGTTTCGGTAACAGGACTGGAACCAAGCTCTCCTAAATCCTTTTGGTGCTAGGCTTTAGGGATAACCCTTTTTTTCTACAGCAAATGTAATGCATAATACCTGGTTTATTTCCTGAGTAGTTGCTATTTTGTCCTGAAATAGCAGAGGGCCGGCTGGAGGCAGCAGTTTTCTTATCTTGCACTTTGTGGCTTTCAGGTGCTACACAAATGAGACAAAAGAGAAAAGACTGTATTTAGTTTCTTAAAATTTATTCAGAAACATTCACCTATTCAACATTTACTGCTAATCTTTGTATCAGGTATTAGACTAGATTCAGGAAATAGAAAGATGAGGCCATTACAACTCTGGCCCATTCAGTGGGAAGGACACATCCAAAATTCAAATTGGATGTTGAGTTGGATGTTGGGTGTTGGATGCCGTAGCTCGAGCAGTCCTACAGCAGTGGCAGGTTGTGGGTGGTCCCAGTTCATAGATAAAGCAAATACACTGACTGGTATCCAAAGCCTCTGATCTTAGTTCTTACAAAGTTCATGCATTAGGAACCGAGAAATTCCAAGAACAAAACCAAGTGGGTCACCAGAAAGGAACCAGGGCATACAATTTACTAAGATTTTGAAAAAGCCTCTGACAAAAAGTTCAATAACAAAGATTATTACAGAAACTAAGGAAGATGTATTCTAGAAAAGGAATGAAGGGAAGAAATATCAGGTAATTCTTTGGTTATGTCAAGTACAGGATCCCATACTTTAAACATGACTTTCTTTACCCATATTACTTTATTTAATGTATTTTCAAAGGATATTTTTAAAAAGCCTGCTACTATCTCAGATACCAATCACGTCAAAAACCAAGCCCATGAGTTTCTCTCCCTCCTACTTTCTGCCTTAAAACCTGCTCTGCTGAGTCTTCTCCACCAATTGAGGCGATTCTACCCTTCCAGTTGATCATGCCCCAAACCCTGGACTCATCCTTGACTTGTCACTTCCCACGTTCAATATGTTACTAGGTTCTTTCAACTCTTATAAAACATCATACTCTCCTGCTACCTTTTTAGTCATCTCCCTGAGTGACTACAATATCCTCTTACCCATTCTATCCTTCCACCGACACCCTTTAGTTTGTTTTCATCTTAGCAGCCAGAGTGATCCCATTCAAAGATTTATTTTTTTTTAAAGATTTTATTTATTTATTCATGAGAGACACACACACAGAGAGAGAGGCAGAGACATGGCAGAGGGAGAAGCAGGCTCCATTCACAAAGCCCAATGCAGGACTCGATCCCAGGTCTCTGGGATCATGTCCTGAGCCAAAGGCAGACGCTCAACCACTGAGCCTCCCAGGTGTCCCGAGTGATCCCATTCAAACACAAGTCGTGTCACTCTTCTCCTCAAATCTCTCCAACACCTCCTATCCTGCTCAGAGTAAAACCTAAGGTCTCCATTATGGCCCAGAAGGTAGCATATGGTTCGGCCTTTACCTTATGCCACTATCCCACTTTATTACTCTGCTATAGTCATTTTGATTTAGTCCATCCCAGAACTTTGCATGGGCTTGGAATCCTCTTATCTCAGATACCCACGTGGATTTCACTTCCGTGAGGTCTCTGCTCAAATAGGACATTAGAAAATCCACTTGAATTGTTTAAAATAGCACTCATGCCACTTGGCACTTGGCACTCCTTACCCTGCTTTGTTTGCAGCCCTTGTGCCTGGACACATTACATATTACCTCTCCTTGAAGCTAAGGAAATTTGAGAAAATAATTCCTATTTTCTAGATAATGTCCAAGTTTTTGAAACTGAAAAGGTGTGATAATAATTATAATTTAAGAAGACTAAATTTAAAAATTGTTCCCAAGATGTACGAAGAAGAAATTACTAAAAAAAAGTTCCCTAAACTTACCTTTGACCTCTAAATGTGGGATTCACCAAATTTTTGTGGCTCTTAGTTACATATCATATTAGCATGGAAAATCGAAGACTATTGGGTACCTGGGTGGGTCTGTCAGTTAAGCATCTGACTCTTGATTTCTCAGGTCATGATCTCAGGGTTGTGAGATTGAGCCCTGCAACAGGCTCCGTGCTCAGCAGGGAATCTACTTGAGATTCTCTTTCCTTTTCCTCCTCTCTCCCGACCTGCCACATACATACTCTGTCTAAAATAAATTAATTAAATATATATATGAAAACAGAAAATCGTAGACTAAATAGTAAAATATCTTACACAATTCTTGTAATATTGCTTAATTTTTTTATTTGCTTTAAATAACAGCTTCAAACACAGACATCAATTGGTTTATGTTGTATCTATTGAGTTTTTTTTTTTTTAACAAGGGAAGGTGTGAAAAGATACAGGAAAAAATGAGCAGATAGCAAATAAAAGGCCTCATTCAGTGGTTCCTGATAGAACTTTGCCATCTGCAATTTTACCAGGCAAGCTACCACTGGAAAAGGTTCTGTGTGTATATAGTTACCCTGGAGAATGGGGACAAGTCAAAGGGAGTATGAGTGGAACTGATACTGATCTAGAAGGGAAACTAGAAAGTATCCTGGGTATCTTCATCCCACTTGCCAAAAATGAGTTGCCAACTATCACCATGTAGCAGGTGAAACCCATACTAACTAGTCTTGGCGTACAGTATCACAACTTTAGAGACAGCCTCCAGAGATAAAATTGACTATACTTGGAAACTTTGTTGCTCACTGTGTGTAGAACAACCTTTCTCAGGGCTCTTGGGTAGAGTAGTTGGTTAAGCAGTTAAGCACTGGATTCTTGGTTTCTGCTCAGATTATGATCTCATGGTTGTGAGATCAAGCCCTGGCCTGAGCTCTGCATTCAGCATGGGGTCGGCTTGAGATTCTCTCCACTTGTGCTTGCTCACACACATGCTCTCTAAAAGAGATCACTCTTTAAAAAAAAAAAAAAAAAAAAGAAAAGAAAAAAGAACCTTTCTTTTTATTCTTCAAGTTGATCTTAGTAGAATATAACACATCACTTGGAATACTAGGATTAAAATTTTCTTTTTGTTATACAGCTACCTCCAGCATAGAGTAAATAAAGCCTTAATTGGTAAGCTATTTATTGATCTTCTATTATTTTTAGTTAATTGAGAAAGAATTAAAACCATTTGTTTAGGGATCCCTGGGTGGCTCAGTGGTTTAGCGCCTGCCTTTGGCCCAGGGTGCGATCCTGAAGTCCCGGGATCGAGTCCCACGTCGGGCTCCGGGCATGGAGCCTGCTTCTCCCTCCTCCTGTGACTCTGCCTCTCTCTCTCTGTCTATCATAAATAAATAAATAAACCTTTAAAAAAAACCCAAACATTTGTTTAGAATGTATTTCAAATGTATTCATTTCTTTCTTGCCTTGGTATATCTGACATCATTTAATCTTTCTCTGGTGATTGCATATCTGCGGTGTCCCCCTAGGTCCTGACAACAAACATCAATTCTAACTGAATATTATGTAACAGTCCACCATGAAGGAGATTAAAAAGACTACAACACACGTTCAGTCAGTCCAATTGACTTTTACAAATCATCCCCAACAAAAGCTTTCTTTCGGGGGGTGCTATAATTTATCATCTTGAAATTAAAATATAAAAAATATACTTCAATTAAACTGGAGGTCTGGTTACTTGAATCCCAATTTATCCACATCTGACTTCTACTGGATCTGCTCCAGCTGAACATTCATGTGCCTGCTCTCTTTACTGTCACCTGCATCTCAGCAATCTGTTGCTATCCCAAAAGATCTTCTGGGTCCTACTCCTCACAAGACACATTTAGAATCTTAAAATTTTTTATCCTCACGTAAAACTGACAGCTTAATCTAGGAAAACAAAAGTAATTTAAAGGATGGTCGGCCAGTCTGTTTAGTCCAAGATTATACACTGATAATCTCTGACCTTTAGGTTGGACATTCATCTAAGGTTTTCAGGTTACCGTTCTGCTTTTCTTTCTGGTCTTCTTTCTGCCACTGTAAGAACCTTCATTTTTCCAAAACCCTCTCTGGTTAACACTCTATCATGATAAGAGGGAAGATATGAATTCAAACAGATCTGGGCTCAGGTGACCTTTAGAAGTTTCTTGACCTCTCTGAGTTGGAGGTTGAGGGTGGGGGTTGGCATACAGCCTCCCCCACAGGGCTGCTGGGAGATGGGAAGGTGAATGGGGAAGATACACGGGGAGACTCTGTCATAGAGCTTAGCGCACAACAGGGGTTTAAGACACATTCATTCATTTTCTCTCTTTTGCTCTTCCACTGAGGTCCTGGACCTCCTCCAGCCACAACACTTCCATGGTGTGGCAGTGTGTTTGGAAGTTTGGAGGAGGCAGTGTGTGATCTGGAGTCAGCTGACCTGGCTGTGCCCCTAGCAGGGTGTGAATCTCAGCACATAACCTCTCAGGCTTAATTTTTCCATCTGTAAAGAGGGACAACACTTACTTCCAGGGCTGTGAAAATTAATGAGAGCATTAGGTCTACCATACGGCTCAATAAATGGTTGAAACTATTTTTTTTCTCTCTCTCTCCTTATTCCCTACACAAATGTGGGGAAACTGGGTGTCTATTTCTCCAGGGCTTTGCTCAGGCAGCAGTAATAGGGAAAGTAAATGTATGTTAATTTGGTGAAAGGGGTCCTGAGGTGCAAAGTCTGGCTCAGCTGCTGGTTTCAAGAAGTTTCCAACTTGGCTACAGTCACACCTCCTGGGGACCCTCAGGTAGGCTGGGATTATTGGTATGGTTTTTAGGGTAAAACCTAGCTTTGGATGAGGCGGTAATTCTCAGTGTTTTTGGGATTTAGATGACAGTTTCAGGAGACTGAATACCCTTCAAGTTACCATTGAATTAAGTAAATATGAGCTTTAAAAAAATAAAACAAAACAAAACCCAAGCTCTCCATTATAATAATGGGAAATAAAATCTTTTTTTTTTTTTTAAACAACGTACAGGGAATCTCACTACTTGGGAACACAATGAAAATAATCTATTTAAAATTTCCGACATTTAGGGATCCCTGGGTGGCTCAGCGAGTAGCCTGCCTTCGGCCCAGGGCCTGATCCTGGAGACCCAGGATCGAGTCCCACGTCGGGCTCCCTGGGTGAAGCCTGCTTCTCCCTCTGCCTGTGTCTGCCTCTCTTTCTCTGTGTGTGTGTGTCTCATAAATAAATAAATAAATAAATAAATAAATAAATAAATAAA